CTGCTGCCTGCTTGCTGCCCAAGGCCGGCCACGCTGCTGCTCTCCCCCCTGCTGCTTCTGCCTCGGATCTTCGAAGCGGCGTGCAACGGGACCGCTGCTGGATCCTGGTGGTGACTATCCCCGCTTTACGGCATTCTTGCTTCTTTCCTATCTTTTCTATCGCCCTCCTTCCCTTCCCCGTCTCCCTAATTAGGATTTATAATAAACTGGTTGGACTAACATATGAACCGTTGTTTCTTAATCTCACACCGGGTATACAGATATTAAAAGAACCTCATCTCCCTCCTATAAATTGGAGCGAGACAGAAGACAGTGAGTGAAGGACTGTATGGTGATTAGCTACCTGCTGGATTAAAGCACAGCACAGATGAAGAGTAAGTATACTGTTTAATACTGTTGACAGGAAAGTTGAGAAATGGGCTTTCTATTTTGGGAAGTACTTTTAACTGTTTATGGTTGAAGCACCTGTGTGACGTGCAGTCATACATTCTAAAGAATATTTCTTCCTCTTGTCTTCTTGTCTCAATGGTAACTCAACAAATCAGCATAACGTCTATTACTAAGCTTCTGGTTAACAATTGCAGAATTATAACCTAGTTTACTTACTCCAAAGTGATGTATCTTTAAAATAAAATTTAAAATAAAATCGTTGTTTTGTCCTAAGGAGTTAGAATCGCAAGAAAGTAAACCTCTATTTCCAGGTCTACTCTTACTTCCCAAGGCAGTATCTTGATCTCAGTAAAGAGGAATGCTAGAATGAGACTTTTCCATTCTAATGTTTAAATTCTGCAATCCCAAGAATAGAGTGCATGACTGGAAGCAGATTTTTACAGTGCATTTGTGGCTCTCATTTGAGTTCTTGTCCTTCTCTCAGTTTGTATTTTTTTAATAGCTATTTAATGCAAACGCATTATTGAGAGCCTACAATTTAGTGTAACAAACTGATTTTTACAGTTAAGTTTTATAGGTCTTCTTGGCTAACCAAGTGTAGCGCCTCCCTTGAGCCCAATTAATCTTGGATTCCTTTTTGCAAGTGAACAGTTCCAGAAAGAGAGGTGCATAGAAGTTGTTTGTAAGGGTGATGTCTCATGGGAGATAGGTGATGCAGATTCAAAAGTTTTAGATGGAAAACTAAAAATCTGCTACCTCCTACACACTTTTGTACTGCCAAGCAACTACAGAAAGGCAAGATAATCACTGGCCATTTCCTTCTTAAAGAATTTATGTGAGTATTATCTGGTTTCATGATTACATAATGTAGAACTAAAATAATTAGCCAAGTTACATATACCACAGGTAAAAGCAGGGCAGTGATAACTGGCAAATCTTAGTATTTATTTCAACAAGGTTTTTCAGAATTTATTTTTATAACATAAGTATTATTCTTGGCTCACCAATGTGTTTTAAAATTAGTGTTATTTAAATTCAGAAATTAAATGACAATTTAACTATTCAACCTCATTAAGTTAATGGATTTTATCCCCCTTTAATCTTCAGAAAGTTTAGATATCTATTTATTTGATAATATATATTTAAGCCATAATGCATGTGAAGGTGGATGTTCTAAGAGAAGTCCAATCCAATAAGACTCCTATTCTGTAAAGAAATCAAGAAAAGCTCATATCAGTCCTAAAGGAAAGTACTGCACTCCTCAGTGCTGAATGCTTGCATGTAATTCAAAACTTGAGAGCTTTTGTTCTTCCCAAAAGTCTTGTAAGTATAAATGATTTATTAACTACACTTATTAAGACTTATTTGCTAGCAGGAAAAACTGCATCATTACTGAGTAGCAACTTACACTGAGACTAGATGAATAGAGGACAATTATTGATTATGTCCACTACTTGGAAATTTTAAGGCGCAACACACACCTAAGTGACAGATACAGGAGTGTAAAGATATCATTTATGAACAGAAGCAGGGTATATGCAAACATTTCCATTTTGATAAAGAATAGATAAATAAAAATGCTTTGACTGCCATCACTCTAGGCACAAACAAACAAGCAAACAAAAAAGACAAACATTTGAAGATGAATTTTCAGATGAATTCAAATTACTTTCAAACTAACAAATATTATTACGTTCTAGTTTCTATTACCAAATGCTTACTAGATGTCTCTTATTACTTATCATAAATAACATTATGTTACTAACAGACTTATAATGAGGAATAAGCAATTGTCCATTAATACAAAATACACTGATTTGTTCTACTCTTGAACTCCTTCCTCTCCTTGTTATGCATATATATTTTATGCATATATATTTTTTTAAAAAGGCAAGTAATCCCAAGATATATATTTAATAGATAATTAGTGACAAAGTGTTCCCTTCAGGGCAAAAGGATGATTCAAGTTTTTTCTTTTTAGTCATAATTATTTTTATCATAATAAATATATAATATTTTGCATAGTTAATTATTTTATGTAGTTTTCACTTAGTCTTCTTTTAGGCATAGTGCCCCTTAATCTCACATTTAATTCAGAATTCCATGAACTTTTCCGCCAGTACATGATTGCATCCAGAAGGATTTCATATCCTTTTATGAACTGGCAATAAAAATGGAGAATAAATAGAATATACACTTCATACGTCACGATTTCAATTTGCAAATGAGAATTATTTTTCAAAGTAGAGAGGAATCTATATTTTACATGAGATCAATCTTGAAAGCTTCAGTAGACTTAACTAGTATGCAATTTTTCATTAATTCCTATTCTTATGGGTATATATTTTAAGATATTTACAACATTTAGATACAGTTTTCTTCACTTTAATCTCTGAAAAATTGTATCACAAGACTCATTTGTTCTATTGTTGTATTAGCATAGCTATAATCAAGATGATATGCAATACAGTGTTTATATTTTTCCTGTTTCCTGATTAGATACCATCTCCAGTGGGTCTTCAGCTTTCTGCTTTTTCTATATACTTACTGAGTTATTCTCTCTATAGATAAATACCCCCATGTGCTGATTTAAAAACTGATATCATGTGCTGTATGGGAACTGCTGATCACGGCCTGAACCTCTGATTGACCACCTGAGGCAAGCAATGAGTCAGCCACCGGAGCACAGGTGAAGGCAATTCACCTGTGCTGCCAGAAGGGGTAGAGCCTGGCTCTACCTCTCCTAGATCGTATTTAAGTGCTGAGTACCACTAAGAAAGGATCTTATTCTGGAGATTGTTTCTTATGGAGTTTGCTGCAAACCTATGATACTGGTGAGCATTTCCATTTATTTTGATTATCTTTCCATCATGATAATCTTGCTAAGCCTAACGTTTGTACGTCTATTGATTGTACATGTCTACAGTGAGAATTCTATTATAATTAAGGGAGGAAATTTTCCTCTGTTGTTCAAAGAATGTACTATTTTCCTTTATTTTTCCCTTCCTATCAGAATGCCCTTGATTTCACCCTGAATTATACTTTTAGTGCTGTAGAAATGTAAGATGTTTCTTCTGCTAAAATTTTTTGCTGTGTACTTGGAAGTCTTTGAGTATAAAAAATTGTATCTGATGCATAACCCTTCTGAAAGATTTATGAAGTGAAAGCACTCTTTTTGAGGTTTGTCTTGCAGATTGCTTTGTCTAAATCAGTGAAAACATGGTAATGTAAGAACTGGCCCAATGTATTCAGATCTTCTTTAAAACGTTTGATATAATTCTAGCATACTACATAACTTGTTGTATGTAAACAAATACAGAATGATGTTCCTATAACTTCTCATGAAACTGATATATTAAACATTGGAGTATATCTAAAACTTCATATATTAAGGAGTATTGCTTGGATTGCTCCAAGCTAGCTTTTTTTTTATTCCAGAAGCAATCACAATGAGAGATCTGGATTGTAAACTTTTTTTCAGAAACTTAGATGAGATGCTGCGCTAATATGGATGTAGATTAACTTTAAGCCTGGTCTTCATAAGTCAGTAAAGCTGGCAGTTTTATTATAGTCATTGGCAGCCTTGGCTATAGGGACAAATGATAAGATTTAAGAAACTAAGGAAAATGAGGAACAAGAGTAATAGATGAAAGAGCCAAGACTTCAGGAAGGCAAATTTCAGCTTGTCTGGGGAAATGGTGTGCAACATTTTGTGGGGAGCTGCTTTGAAGGGCAAAAAAAATGATGGGGAGATGACCTTTTAACACAGAAGCAGTTAATGCCTATGTACAAGATGAAAAGCAGGCATAATATAAGATGGTTTAGATGTCAGGTAAAGTTCTCAATATGCTTCAATGCAAAATGGAAATGTTATAGCAAGTGGAAATACTGCAGCCAAAGCAGAAAACTGAGCCAAACATAAGTTTTCTCCACACAATTTAGGAGATAATTATTAGATAGCCTTGAGTCTACCGAAAGTGTTTTGAAGCTGGCCTGACCAAACAATATTTCAACACTTTCAACACAACTATCTCTATTAACCTGAGACAGCTCTGGATATATATCTATGTATATATGCATATATACAGACATGTGTATATATAGTATATGCACTTGCATATTTATGTGCAATAGTGGAAATGCTACCAAGAACAAGTACGTATGTCAAGATATACAGAAAAGGTGTGGAGAAGGTCAAAGTTCACCTGGAAATGAAATTAAGTAGAATGAAGAGCATAGAAAAATCTGAATTTCATTGGAAACTGAACGCATTTTTAAGGGCTAATAATAAGCAGATCTATCAACTGTTTTTGATTTAATATTCTTTATTGACTTACTGGGTAGAATCCATTGTCAGTAAGCCCACTGATGGTCCTACATGGAAGGTAGCATACTGGAGAGTAGGGCTGCCACTTGGAAGATGCTCACCAGCTGAAAGTTCAGGTGAAATAGGCTAGCCTGAGTTTGGGAAGATACAGGCTCTAGGGAAATAGATCTGGTGATGGAAAGGCAGCTGAACACGAGCCAGGAGCGCACCCTTGTGGCAGTGAGTGCTGAATCCACAGGGTTTGTCTGGCAGCATGTAGCCGGCAGGTGGAGAGAAGTTGTTAATACAGTCTGTATTATGTACTTATGAGACGGAATCTGGAGTACTGTATTCAGTTTTACCCTCTCAATAAAATAGCAGTGACGTTTCTCTTTTGTGTTTAAATCACACTGCTATCATTTTAAAATCTAGGAATGTTCTAGCAAGGACTCTGTTTCATGAAAATATCCTATGATTCCAGTGGCATCTAGAATTATCAGTCTGTTGGTTATGCGATTTACTTTAGGGACTGTCGGAGATCAAGACCAGTTCTTTATTATCAGTTTGGTCCCTTTGTGGTATATACCGTAGCATATAAATTACTATATTTCATCTCAGAGAGTATATACTTAGATTTTTTGCCCTTAGAATACTAATTAAATATTGTTCCATAGAATCATGGATCTTAAGGTAAAGAAATCCGATATAATGTTAGAAAAAAATTATTCTTCAGTATTTAATACTCATTTTCTCTAGTACTGTCGCTCTTCTGAAACTTACATTACTCATTCTTGGTGGTGTTTGCAATATCACCTTTTGAACAATTTTCCTCCCTCTCTCCCTCACCTCCTTTTCTGTCAGCTTCTATATTGCTAGGCAACACAAATAAAATTATTTTAGTGACCACTTCTGTAGAAAGGTTTACTTTCTTCTGATCATTTTAGTACTCGCATCCCATGCCTGTTTTATTTTGAATTCACATTTCTATTCTAATGATTATAAGAGCCTAGAAGGGAAACTTTTATCAGTGATTTTTGTAAGGTTACTAAAACTTCTGATTGAAATATTGTCATCAGTGCATCTTAATCTTGGTTTAATCTTCACCATATTAAATTAACTGCTCAACAGTACCTGTACACTGACAGTATAGAGTAGTCTTTTCCTTCTAACTGATCTAATCTGAAGTACTAACAGAAGGTTTCTTTCTTTTTTTTTTTTTTTTTTTTTTAAACCAAATATGCTACCTTTCTTCTCTACAACTGAACTTCACTCCATCCTTATTATTCTCAAGTTACTCACTGCTTCCTCTATGGAATTCATTTTATATGAATGATGCCACTAATATATTTTATTAATGCTGTCCTATTCTTAGTGTTGTAGTTGGTTAATGTAGTATTTTAAAAACTTTACAGGATAATCCTCCAAGGATTAGTAGCGTGTTTCATATCCTCTTACTATATCCTGATGAGGAAATTTCCTCTGCACCTTTCTGTTCTTCTATAATCCCTATTCATACCTGTCCCACAAATTAACTCCGGTTCAATTTTGTAATTGCTTATTTACAATAGAGCTGTTAAATAATCCCCATATTACTGTTTCAGTATAAAAATTCAAGACTATCAAGGCCTGTCAATTGCTCTTTTTTTCCTGAGTTTGATACAAAAATAATTCCTCAACAGTTTCAACCACTTTGAATCTATGAGAGTACAGTAGTGGCTGGGACTGACATACAAACCATTTTTCCTTTGTTCACTCATGGTTAGAGAAAACAAAGTAGAAAGATGAGCCCTGACCTTTGAAACAATTTATATGTAAGGAGTTACTAAACTCTTTCATTATTGAACAGTACCTCTGAGTGTATCAAAGATGTTGAGGAGTCCAAATTTCAGAATATTTCAAATTTCTATTTGAAATATTAAAATTAATGAAGAATACTATAGACAACAATTGGCAAATCCAAATTCCTTCAGATTTTTACTGAATGAACTCAAACTGCTTTCTCATAATTATTGTACGTCACACAGAGGCTTTATAGAATATGGAAAACATCTTATTCTGTTTTTTTCAAAACTTGGACAATAATTTCAAGCAGGTTTGTTACATTTGTAATAAACTAGACCTATTTTTTTTTCCAGAAAAGTCTACTGCATGTTAGACTGAGTCTGAAGTGTGTTCTTTTAGAAAAAAAAAGTACTTCAGGCTTCTTAAAAGGTAGTTAACTCTTCTGCTGTTCATAGTTTAAAAAAAAAAAAAAAAAAAAAAATATTGTGCTAGGATGAAAAGCAGATGAACTTGTCAGGCACGAATTAGTTAAGTAGGGGCTGCATATTAGTATTAATTGCTGATATTATTCAAAGGCTATTCAAATGAAAGCTATTGTTTTTCCCGCCTCTTGATATAGCTACTATACTAATCCAGCATAATCCAACAGGCTACCTGTTTATCTAAATATCAAGGATAAAGATAATATGTTGGACAAATATCTGTACAGCTTTGTAATCCAACAGAAGTTTAATATACCTTTCTGAATTTAAATGACACGTTAGTGAAAGAATCAGTCTAATAACTAATAAAATTTTAGAGCTGTGCTCAGACATTGTTTGGTAAGAGTAATTGGATTTCATAATTTAATTCAAATTCTGAGATTATTTGTGAGAGCAGTGATAATTTGAAAGCTATTTCTTATTAAACTGCACACTTCTGTATGAACAGTAAAGAATCAACATATTGCATCAATTTTGGTTTTCACCAACAACGTGCTTCATTTTTAAATGAGCTTGCATGCATTCAATCTTTGTGTTATGAAAATGTCAGTGATAGAGATACCAATCAAAAATGAATGCCACATATATCTATAGCTGTCACAAGAAAAGAGTTTTAGAAACTTCATTTCAAAACTTGTCCATATCTGAAGAGAGACGCTTACTTCCTAAAATATCCAGTGGAATAAGGGTAACTGCAGTTTCCATAAATTTGAGCTGTGACTTCTTGAATTTTATGTGAGTAACCATTATTGGCTATCAGAGCTTAAATGCATACTATCACATATTTTTTTCTCTGGAAAAAAAAGTCTTTAGCATGTAAGAGGTATCAATGCAGGAAAAAATAAAGAATGTTAACTCCTAAAATTCTAAAGAGATTCTGTGATTAGAAAACAGTTTTAATGTTTTCTTAACACACTGATTCTTTATTATTCTGAAGAATAAGAACTTCAAACTCTAGAATTCAGCCTGTCACCAAATCTTTTTCATTATTTCAAACTTAAAAAAAAAAAAAACCCACAACATATTCTGTGTCTTTAATAGGGATACCATTAATCCTTCACACTTAACCATAGTTACTGAATGATAACCCCATTAAAATTCCATGTGTGCAAGATTATTTAATCATCAATTCAAACCTGCCTAATTAGAATGTTCTCATTAAAATAATTAGTCCCTCTCCTGGAGGTGCTAATCCATTGATCTGTATTACTTCTATGTAAAGCCTTGCACAAATGCCCTTCCCAAGATAATGATCTAGCAATAA